GCCTTAAATCTCAAGAAGTGCCTCGACTCCCAGATGTAGAAGTGGAAGATGAAGCTAAGTTTTTGGGCATCACACTCGACAAGAATTTAACCTGGACCCCTCATGTGGACAATATATGTAAAAAATTAAGTTCAACCATCTATGCTCTTAAACATATAAAAAATGCAACAGATGACATGACAACAAAAGTAGCATACTTTGCACTTTTCGAGTCGCATATGAGATATGGACTTGTAGCATGGGGTGGAACCTCTGCCACTAACATGCAAAGAGTTCTCAGAAAACAAAAAAAGGCAGTCAGAATAACTGCAGGACTCCACAGACTCGACAGCTGCAGGGAAGCATTCAGGTCACTCAAAGTACTTACCCTTGTAGCACTCTACATCCAGAAAGTTGTGTTATTTGCAGTAAGAAATAACCCTACAAGGCGTGGCGAAATGCACCAAGACAACCTGAGAAACACCATGCAGTACAACCTTCCACAACATCGCACGGCACAGTTTGAAAAGAAACCTTCATACGCAGGAATGAAAATCTACAACAGGCTACCTCCAGATCTAAGATGCAAGTCAGAAGATGACCTCAAACCAGCTTTGCATCAATGGCTCATTAATCGACCTTTCTATTCCTTAGAAGAATACCATCAACAGGTCTTTGACTAAACAACACCTCAACCACACATTTAGAAAAAATTGTAAATTGACGCTACTACTATTCTTAATGAATGTGTAAATAAAGATTAATTGTCTATTGTCTATTGTCTATTGTCTATGACTGCAGTTAGCTCGGACATGGTGAATGGTTCTTCCAGGAAGTGATTCTCACTTGCCACATCACGCACAACAGGCTCCCGGTATTTCCTTCCATAGGTTTTGCCATTTAAAAGAGAAGGTTGGTAGTGACTTGATCGGCAGTAACTGTTGTAAAGTTGTCTTTTGGTTTTGTCGCATCTCCATTTATGTTCTTGAGGAACTTCCAGGCCCGTCTGCTGTTCACCTGCATATCTAAACTCTCCACAAGATCACACCACTTAGTTTTGCGATTTTCGGCAATGACTGTGACTGACATAAGCTCTTCACCTGCTAGAAGTGTGTCCTCAGCAAAGGGATCATTGTCAAAGAGACCTTGGTATCGTTCTAGCAGTGGCTTTGCCTCTTCAGAGAGTCCTACGATGTAATGGGTTCGACAGCCTCTAGGTATCATTTTTCTCGAGACCTGCTGGACAAGCTTAACGAAGGAGTCACACATATCAGGTTGTGGAGGGATATTGGCGATTTCTCTGTCAATGATCTCCCTAAAACCCGTCCAGTTGGCCTTTTTGAAATTAAACCTGCACATTTTTGGGATAAGAATATGCCTACCGGTTATATGTTATATGTTAATTGGGAATGTGAGCTATCATCATGCCAAATTTCAGTCCAATCCGTCCAGTAGTTAATGCGTGATTGAACTTCAAACAAACAAACACACAAACTTTCACATTTATAATATTAGTAAGATAAGATGAAATCCAACAACATTATCCTCCTTGATTTCTACGAAACACTACTCCTCCGTTAATAATGGACAGATTTTTACAAACGATGTGTCAAAATTAAGTATTTTTTGTTGTGTAGACGCCCCCTTTCACCAATTCCTGTAATAAAAGTCCTCGGGCTTTGCCCCACAGGCCATCAAAATCCCAATGTATTCAATCAATCAATCAATCAAATCAAAATATCCTTCATTCATTTAAGTACAATAGTACAGGAATAGAGTCAGATCTTACAAAATAAAATGTTTTATATGGAACTAAATATAAAACAGAATATTTATTTTATTTGTTCTCTCAAAAATCTGTAAGAAAATAAGGGGTAAGTTTAATCAAATACTGTTTCAGACAGTTTTTAAACTTTTTGTATAATTTTCAGTTAGAAATGTTTTTGGTAGATGAGGCATAAATTTATTTCCTGTGAATTTTATTTTCTTTTTTATAAAACTGTAGATTGTGTCTATCAATTTGAGTCTGAGAACGAGTGTTATAATTATGACTAATTTTACTAGATACCTGAGTTTTTGTAATATTTTTCACATAAATAATAGTTTCGAAGATATATAGTCCATGAACAGTCAGATATATAGTTGGAACAGTATTCCAAGATCGGTAAAAAGATGTTTTACCGAAACTTTCCTTTTCAAATTAAACATTGCCCTAATTGCCCTTTTCTGGTACACTAAAATCCTTTTTAAGTTTTTTGAAGTAGTTGCTCCATATATACTGATACCATAAGCTAAATTAGAATGGACTAAGGCATAATATATTGATATTAATGTTTTTAAGCTGCAAACTTTATACATTTGTCTTAAAGCAGATACTCCTGACGACATTTTTTTGATAACATGATCAACCAACATGTTTGTCCCAGGTTAGATTTTTATCAATTGTTAAACCAAGACATTTTGAATGTTCTACCTGCTGTAATTTATAATCTTCTAAGAGTATGTCTGGATTTAATTTGTTTTTTTTTTTTTTTTTTTAGAAAATGATACAAAATTAAATTTTTCAGGGTTTAAAAGAAGGTTTTTGCTATCTAAAAATTTTTTATGATGGAGAGACTGACCAATGATGATGCTTCAATACTTTCTTTTGAATTTCCATGAATAGTAATATTAGTATCATCAGCATACAGACAGATAAGTAAACAGGCATCAAGTCCGGCAGACCCCTCAAGTATATTAGGAACAAGAGGGGCTCCAACACCGACCCCTGCGGAACTCCATGGCGGACCGTCTGCATCTGTGAACTAAATTTTTGGATGTAATTATATTTACTTGAGAAATCTGATTTATAATGTTCTATCTCAACATATTGTTGTCTAAGAAAGAGGTAGGATCTAAACCAATTTAATTCTTTGTCATGAATACCTAATTTTGATAAAGTGTCTATAAGCTTTTCATGTGTTCAACTGCCCTTGTTAAATCAAGAAAAATTCCAATTACTTTTTCACCCTTATCCACTGCATTTATTATACTTTCAATAAATTCAATAACTGCAGTGACTGTCGATTTACCTGAAATCCATGTTGTTCTGAATCCATTAAGTTATTTTCATTGAAAAATTCATCAATTGTATAAAAACAACTTTTTCTAAGATTTTTGAAAAAACTGGAAGAAGTGAAATTGGTTGGTAAGAGGAAACATCGTTTGGTTCCCCTTTTTTGAAAACTGGAATAATTTTTGCTATTTTGAGTTTATTAGGAAAAATGCCTGAAATTAGAGAAGAACTTACTATATGTAGAAGAGTTTTTAAATAGCAGAAAGAACTTTTTTAACAGTAATAATTGAAAGATCATCATAGACGGTAGTAGAATATTTGTTTTCAAAAGATAATATTAATTTTTAAAAATCTTTCTCATCAATTTGCTTAAATTTGAATTAATTAATGGAAACTAAATGCTGAGAATGCACCACACTATCTTGTCCTTGAAGAATTTTAGGAAGAACAGAATTATCAACCACAGACACAAAGAAATCATTGAAACTATTACTGACCTGAAGAGGGTCAGTAATAAATATACCATCTCTCAAAATATCAATGTTACATTTTGAAACCTTTTTGTTGTTTACCTTTGAGTTAATTAATTTCCAAGTTTGTTTTGCTTTATTCTTTGCATTATTTACTTTTGTATAGAAAAAAAATGTTTTTCCTTATCAATGCATTGCTTTAATTCAGCTTTCGACATTTTAATGGTTACCTTAAGACTTTCATTCTTACATAATCTAAATAAAATTTCTAATTCTTTAATCTGCCTTTTTTGCCTATTATTTCTTCAGTAATCCAATTACTTTTTTTAAAACAATTTATCGCTGTTAAGGTTTTAGGGAAAAATAAATTAAAATTATGATTAAATATATTATAAAAAACATCATATTTCTTATCTACAGGCGCCTGATAGACTTCTAACCAAGTTTCTGTCAATAACTCTTTCTGAAAAAAAAATCATAATTATTTGTTGAAAATTTTCCTTATTAGTTTTTTTTGTTTTTGTTTGAGCATGAAACTATTTCTTATGAAGAATAGTTATTTGTGTAGCTAGTGAGCAAAGTGGCACTTTGCTGCACACGAGAGCAACATTTATAAAATTAGTCTTTCAAACACTATACAACATGTTTTTAGGTTCAGCTCGCAACACAAATAGGTGCCCTAGAGAAAGTAGTCCCCGGTCCGTATCACTCCGCTATTTTTTTCCTCGGCAAGTAATGTGCTCCGTGACTTGAGAAAATCGTTCCGTATATTTTTGTAATTTGCAGTGGTTTCCGCGCCTAAAAAACTGCTTTAAAGGTATTTTCTTCTTTATTAAGATCGTATGAATGTTTTAAAAATGTTTAAAAGAAAAGTCCAGAAAGTTCAGAAATACCGAAAAGAGAACATAAACTATAAACACGAAATGACAGGTTAAATCGTAGTTATAATAGTCAATCAGCTGCTCATAGTATTATTATCTTTAAGTGTTGCCAACCTATTTCCAAGTGTACACGGATTACGTGCATAATAGAAACAGGCTGATTTGTGTTTTGTTGGAATCCTGATGTGCGCCAAAGTATAAACCGTACGACAAAGTATAAATATGCAGCAATTAGCATCTTTCTGTACTATAAACAGTACAAGGAAGCCAACTTTGTCGGGTGACTGTAGGAAAAATATTTTGTTTACTAATCAGACAAATAATTTCTATTAATTACAGCTGTTCATAGTAAACACACGATACATACAAGAACGTTCGTTTTCAAAAAGAGTTCGTTATCAGTTTCGATAACTGGAGTGGAGTGATTGATTACATTATCTTTGAGTTGACTCTTTTAAGTCGTCGGAATTTTTTACGGTTATTCGTTTTGAAATAACGCCTGTAATGCTTTGCAATTGCTCGAATTCGAGCAACAGGTGCACTAGTAATTGAAGAAAACATGTGCTTTATTATTATTATACTTTATTCAAGACAGTTTGCGACTGTATTATTTTCCAATTTGGTTGAACTACTGATTTGGTCAGGCTTTGTCTTAAGTCTTGCATAAGTCTTATTGTTTACAAGTTTATTATTATTTGATAATTACAAAAGCCAGAAGCATGATTAATTATGTTTAGGATCTTATGGGGTGTGCTGGTTTTGCTTGCCAGTTTGTCATTTGCAGTCGTCAGCTACGGTTCTTGGGAAACATACAGACACCCGACAGTAACAACCACTGTTGCCACTACACGTTATGACTGTTTCAAATTCCCCTTTCCTTCTTTCACAATATGTGACACAAGCAGAGTTGACTGGCAACGAGCACTGAAATTGACAGAAAGGTGAAGTATAAGTTGTATTACTAATGGGAACTGTATAGGTTTAGTTTTGGCAAATTTAACCATATGTTTTAAAACTATTTGCCTGTTTTTTTTTACTAAGAATTAACCTTTTTTCACTGAGCTATAATAATTTTTTTAGCCTTTTGTCTGAGCATTTGACAAGACATGTTTTATTTTAAGTATTTTTCCAGAGACGTCCCATATCGGGGAAACATTACTATGGACAAAGTACTAGTGTTATTAAGATCATTAGCAGACATTACATTTGGAGATTTTGACTTTTTGGCAAATATTGAAAATGCAAATTTGAACCCTAGAGACTTCAGAGGAATTAATATTAAAGAACTTCTTCAAAAGGTAAGTAAACAGTGCAGTACACATAGTAAGTAACAAATATACTGTTATGCTACATCAGATTCCTCCTACACACCTATCAGCAATTCATCTTGGAATAGCTTTAGTTTCTATTTGCTATTTTGGCCTAAAGTATAAGATAATTAATAAAAACATTGTAGTTACAAAATAATTTATAATAACTTGATAAATTTACATAATAATAAATTTATCAAGTTACAAGTATAGTATAGTACCCGTCCTTCATATGAGTTTAGCGTATAACATGCTTAACAGTATTATATATAACTGCAATAAGGGTAACATGCTTTTTTTTCTTTTTACTTTCTCCCCCTATACCATAGTGTATGGAGAAAGTATTGTTTTCATCAAAATTTTCAAGTTTGAGTTTTGAGTGGATATATTCGTTTTGGGTCCCCCTGGACCCAAAAAAGTGGTTTTCGAAGTGATGTTTGTGGTGTGTGCGTGTGTGTGTGTGTGTGTGTGTGTGTGTGGGACTACACCTGTGGTCCGATTTTGATGAAATTTGGTATGTAGGTTCTAATCCATGGTATCTCCAGGTGTTTTTTTCATTTTTTTGAAATTTTAATTTTTAATGGGGATTTTTTCATAAAAACCCATAAAAAACCGGAAAAATCGGATTTTTTTAAAAATGGCCCAAACGATTTTGATAAAAATGTAGTATGTTGTAGCCCTTTAAATTCTGAACAAAATGGTACAAATCCCATTTCTATAAAAATTACGGTTCAAAAGTTATTGTAAATTATGTTATTTTCCCATAAAAACCCCATAAAATAACGAAAAATAGGATTTTAGAATAAAATCCGGTTTCGATTTAACATAGTATGTTATGGTCCTTACAATTTTGATAGTTTTTTTTCATTTTTTAGAAATTTTGATTTTTAATGGGGATTTTCCCATAAAACCCCATAAAATAACGGACAAATAGGATCTACCCAAAAATGGCCCGAACGATTTTGATAAAAATGTAGTATTTTATAGTCCTTTATATTCTGAACAAAATAGTACAAATACCATTTCTGTGAAAATTACGGTTCAAAAGTTATTGTAAATTATGATATTTTCCCATAAAAACCCCATAAAATAACGTAAAAATTGGATTTTCCCAAAAATGGTCCAAACGATTTTGATAAAAATTTAGTATGTTATAGTCCTTTAAATTCTGAACAAAATTGTACAAATCCTATTTCCGTATATTTACTCTCACTGCTTACACATGTTAAAGGTTGTTGACAAACTTATGGGAGAAAGTATGTGTCAGAATGCTGATACCGTTTATTTTTTCTATGCCAGTGGCATTTTACGAGAGAGTCACGAGAGAATAAATGTTTAGTGGATGTGCCGGGGATTGAACCCGTCCCTCCTTATTTACTTACATACTTATTTTTACAGTATTAAGTGTTCCATTGTGTTTATTTTATGTATACTTGTATAAAAAAACACAAATAAGGAAAATTAATTTTTATTTTTTCCCATAGTTTTTTTTGTTCTATGTCACGATTTTGCCCGTACGGGAAGAGTTAAGTTATAAATGGTTATATCAAAACCATACATATTTTTCACCAAAGCACTTTTGCTACTGCACTTTGGGCTTGCCTCATTTGAGCAGAACCAAGATTATTCAGGGACAGTGGCGTAACAGAAGTGCCCGCAGGGCCCGCGATGCGGGGGGGCCCGGGAGCTGAGGGGGCCCGCGAACTGGTGAGCGGGAAACGGTGAGCGGAGAGGCCCGTGAGACGAGTGGGCCCGAAATATTGGAGTTCATTTATTCAATAATTGTATTGAACAAGTAATAACATTGATGTTATTAATAATACGAGGCATGTTTTTTAAGTAAGTACCGTTTTTAAATTTCTCCGTTGCAGTGCTGCGAATGGCGTTTTGGACATTTTCGCTGTATATGTGCATCTATTGGCAAGCCCTAGCCGGAAATTCGACAACAATCGGCTGTGTTTACATCTGGTATCGAGCATTCAAAATGATGCCGCCAATTGAGACTGCCGCCGACTATGAAGTGCGCGCTGTAATTAGAGTTTTAGGTGCTAAAGGTGTAAAAGCCATTGAAACTTATCGACAGATTAGTGAGGTGTATGTCAAGAACATTTATGAGTGACAAAATGGTACGCAGGTGGGTAAGGGCCAGCGAACACAGAAGGGCATCTGAAGACAGCCCCACCAACGCCCATCATGAGCAACGCACTGGGCAGCGTCACTGTCCCCAGTACCCAGTGCGTTGCTCATCATGGACGTTGGTGGGGCCGTCTTTAGATGCCCTTACCCACTTGTGTACCATTCCGTCACTCATAAATGTTCTCGCCATACACCTCACTAATCTGTTGACAAATTCCAATGGCTTTCACACCTTTAGAACATAAAAATCTAATTACAGCGCGCACTTCACAGTCGGCGGCAGTCTCAATTGGCGGCATCATTTTGAATGCTCGATACCGATGTAAACACGGCCGATTGTTGTCGAATTTCCGGCTAGGGCTTGCCAATAGATGCACGTATACAGCGCAAATGTCCAAAATGCCAATCGCAGCGCTGGAACGGAGAAGTTTAAAAACGGTACTTACTTAAAAAACATGCCTCGTATGTTGATATCAGTTATCGTTTAATTTCGTTAGGCCTCTTCAGTGATAACGAACTAAGGTAACAAATTTAACATGTTATAACGTGGGTCTTTGATTATTATGCAATTTTACTTTCGTCACCGAGAAATATTTTACTTCTCGGTGATTTCGTACACTGCTTATGTCGTCTGCAAACATTTTGTTACTTTGGAGCCTGGAGTCATGAACGTTGGCTGGGGCATTTAATATTGTATTACCGGTATTTTACATTTTAGCTTTGTCCTAATATTGATTGTGTTTTGTTAAATACAATATACTGCTACTCTACTGACTGTGTTTGTTAGCTCCACAATTAACCATTACTAAAGACATTAGTTGTAAGATAAATGCTTACAACATAATAAGACGCTTGAAATCCATACAAAGATAAAATCTAAAATGCAATAGGCTATTTTAGCCTGTGATTAAAGTAAGTCAATCTATTAAACTAACCAGCTCTTAGTGTATGAGTAGATTATAACCAAAGAGTTAAACTAACCTAATAAATTAATACTTTCTCATCCTTCAGTCATATTTGGGTTAAAATACGCACATATTGGCGTCCCCATCTTAAATAATTGATTGATTGACTTTAATAATTTACTTTGAAATGGCGACCATACCAATGTAGGTATTTTAAGCCAAGAATTAATGGAGATGAGTGGCCCAACCTTTTAGTTTTGAAAGGGACTAAGGCCGACATATTCCTTAGACACAGATGTTAATTAATAGCTAATACAGCAAAAGGCAACTAAGGGGCCTAAGGTGGTTAATAGGGGAATTCGAACCACATTTTGCCTTGTAATTAACGAATTAGTCTAATTATCAGGGTAATAAAAATGGATAACATGTGTGATAAATTAAATATAAAGTTTTTAACCTCTTTGATATAAACATTCTGATAGACGGATGGAAAATGAGGGTTTTTTATTTGATTTCAAAACTATTTACAAACACTAAAACTGATATAATTATGTAGTGATGTAACACTTCCATCAAACCACGACTGAAAATACTTAACACGTACCCTTTTATGGAACATAACTCACAATTTTATATTTTAATTTAATATTTTGTTCATAATTTATTTACCACTCATTTTATGATTAATCTGCTTGAAGATTGTATAGGTGGTCCAAAAAATACTCTGGTGGGAGGGGGAGGGCGTTTGATTATGTTGTATTGGTGGTCTATAAATAACTCATGAGGGGGGGGGGCAAAAAAATAAGTTTGCAGGGGGGCCCGTAAAAATTTGTTACGCCTCTGTTCAGGGAATGTAGTTTATATGGTAAGAAAACCTTGGGCCGAGTAAAAATGGCAGGTTGGAGTATCAGGCAGAGTCCACAATATGAACAGAAAAAACTTTCCAAATTCTGTGATGTATAATATAATCAAATATGTTCAATGTAATACTAAAACTGTAATTGCTCTAATCTTCTGAGTAATATAGGTTTGTCAATCCCAAAAATTATTTGTGGCGTGTTCTACTGCCGTACAAGATACTGGAAATATTCACATAATAACTGTGTTCTAAGGATAATTTAACAAAACCCCTATGGACTTTTGTATAAATAGAATTACTGTATCATATAGTTGTACAACACCATTACAGATCCACACAAGAGTACAGATGCAAGAGTAAGTCTTTTCTTTTGTATGTAAATGGTAAGCAATAATCCATATTTATTTTTAAAATTCTCACCTCAGAACTTTGAAAGCCAAAGTTTTTTTTTATTATTTAAGCCCAGTTGGTTCAGTGGTTTTTACGTAATTAAGTAACACACACACAGACAGACACCATTAGATTTTTATATAATAGTATGGATAGATAGATAAACACCCAAACAAATTTATTTGGAATAAGAATTGTGTTCTGCAATTTTTTGCAGGTTTCTTGAGATTTACTTGTAGTTTTATTTTAAAACATGATAAATAAAAAATATTCCCGCCGCAGCAAACCTGCAGACTTAGCGAATTTCCATTTGCCTTATTTGATTTTCAATTAAATCTATTCAAATAACATTTTAGGTTTAACGAGTACTTAGGTTTGGTGCCTAAAGGGAGGGTAATAAAGTGTTTTTTAATAAAATATTAATAGCTTACAATAGATACAACAATACAATAGAACAAAAGTTACAGTCTTCCAAATCGTTCCATTATATCGCTCAGCTTGAGAATTACCTTGAGGGCTATAAAGGTGAAGATCGACTAAAGCGATTTCTTTTGAGTGTAAGAAGTCACTCAGTTCTTTTAACATGAAAGCAGAACCTTGATTGGAGTGGACAAAAGCAGGCATAGATGGTGAAGATTGAAGTAAGGGCTTTGATGACAGAAGATGCTGATGTGTCCAAGCAAGGAATAGCAAACAGC